CATACAGTAGAACTGTCTTGAGACTCGTCTTTAAAATTCTGACTTTGATGTCGGTTGACAGTTGTTTCGATTTCCAGATGTTCTTCGCTTGTAGATATGCTGCTCTTGCTTTTCCAACCCGCGCCTTCACATCTGCATCAGATGTACCGTGTTCACTGATTATCTCCTGCATTTGTTGTTGTGTGTGCAATAGGAGAGCTAGATCATTTGCAAAGTCTAGATCGTGCACCTGCATCCTGGCTGCCCACTCTATCCCATAATTCCCCTCAAATGTTGACGTCTTCATGATCCAGTCGGTCACCAGGAGAAAGAGAAATGGCTAGAGTAAGCTACCTTTCCTGCCAAAGGTCTTTACTTCGAAGGAGTCTGTGAGTTGTCCTTCATGCACGATTTCTCAGTTCAATCCATCACAAGTATTCCGCATGATGTTGACTATCTTATCAGGCACGCCGTAGTATCGAACAAGCCTCCATAGTGTTGTCCTGTCCACAGTATCAAATGCTTTCTCGTAGTCAGTAAACTTGATGTAGGGTGATGAATTCCATTCAATCGGTTGTCCCACAATGATTCGTAGTGTTGCGATTTGGTCTGCACACGATAGATCCTTACGGAATCCAACCTGCTGGTCTCGAAGTTGAGCGTCTAAGGACTTCTTCATTCTGTTTAACAATACCCTGTTGAGGACTTTTTCTGGTGTTGAGAGAAGAGTGATGCCCCTGTAGTTATCACACATTCTGAGGTCGTTTTTCTTTGGTATTTTGATCAGAAGTCTTCTAGTCTCTTGGTACTTGTTCTTCATCCCAAATCTTATTGAAGAGAATGTAGAGCATCATTGCAGTTACTGCTACGTCTGCTTTCAGTGCTCCTGCTGGAATGTAGTCTGGTCCTGCTGCCTTGCCTCTCTTGATTTGTCTGATAACCATGCTAGTCACTTCAATTGTTGGTGGGCCAACATCGACTGTGATGTCCGTGGGTACCATTTCGATGTTGGGTGGGTTCAGTGGAGCTGGTCGATTCAAGAGTTCTTTGAAGTGTTCTACCCATCTGTTTAGCCGTTCTTCAATGTTGGTGATTACCTTGCCTTCCTTGCTTTTCACTGGTCGTTCTGGTTTACGGTGATTTCCAGCGAGTTTCAATGTTATGTCATACAGTTGTCTCATGTTTCCTTCTTTTGCAGCCTTTCCCGCCGTCATTGCTGGACTCTCCAAATATTTGCGTCTGTCGGTTTTGATGCTCTTCTTCACCTGCTTGTTTACTTCTGTGTATTCAGCTTGTGCCTTGGCTTTTTCTGCTCTTGTTCGGCTGGTATTGATTGCTGCTTTCTTGTTCCTCCTTTCTTGAATCTTATCCAGTGTATCATCAGTGATCCATTCCTTGTGATGGTGTTTCTTGTGGCTCAGGACCTCATGACATGTTGAAGTGACTGCCTCTTTGATCCCCTTCCAGTTGCTCTCCATAGCAGTTCCTTCTCCATTGAGTAGGTCATGAAAGGCTTGGAACCTATTGCCGAGGACTAACCTGAATTTGTTGAGTTTTTCAGTATCGCGAAGAAAAGCCGTATTAAACTTTTGCGCTGTTGTCTGCTCCGTTGTCCAGTGCATCTTGAGTTTCAATTTCACGTTAGCGACCAGCAAGTGATGATCTGATTGTATATCAGCTCCATTCTCGGTTCTCCACTTCCTCGAATTTACTAAGAATGTCATTGCAGAGTAAAGGATCATTAGAAAAATCAGCATCTATCAAGGCTGCATCATGTTTTCGATCATGACTAGGTTCATTCAACATATATTCCTCAGATTTGCAAGGAGTTTCGTCAGAAACAAGTGAATCATTAGGGAAAACAGATCTAGTACAATAACACGAGAAATTTCATAAGTTGGTTGATTAGAAACTGTTGTCTCGCAAGGATTCTGAGTTTCATTTAACTTTGAACTGCTATATGACTCTACACTGTCTTTTGAAATCGTTGACAAAGATAAATGATCATTATAAATACACAACAATAAAATCAGAATTACGAGACTTAATATTAGTTGCAGCGAGATTAACGGTAGTATAACAAACTGACTGAATATGTCCAATATCACTACATTGAAAGCACTCAGAATTACGAAATTTACATGAATTAAAAGAATGGAACCTGCCGCAGTACAAACATTGACCAAACTTGTGTCCATTTTCGTGAACTGCATCGCAACTGCTCAATGGATTATTTGCATAACCTTGAGTATGCACTGGGTTGGGATGACGTAATGTATAGGAATTTTTTATATCCCCATGAATCACTTTACAAAATCTTCTTTTATTGCGTTCGAAATTTGTATACTTAACATAGTCTAGCAGATCGTTAAGAGTTGTATAAGGAAGCGAGATAGGCTTTTCCAGCATAGCCAGAGTTCCTAATAAGCTGTATGCTTCTTTTCCGATGAATGTGAGGAAGTATGTCACAGTATTAACATCCTCAGCAGCTTCCTTGGTCATAGCCCAAATTTTGAACCTTTCAAAGCAATCCTCAAAATGCATCAAGATCTGAATGTATATCCAACAATTCCATCATACTCTCCATCACGACGCCAATGTGATAACTAGAAGTATTTGAATTATAGTATGAACTAAGAATCCCAGAAATAACGTAATCGGATCAAGAAGTACTAGATAACCACAACCGAATGTACAGAATTTAGAATTCGAAATCAAGCATTCAACAAGTACAATGGAATCATTTGTTCAGTCAAACACCACATAATGTCATTAGGAAGTTGAAGTAATGAATCCAGATGTACAAAGGTACTTATTGACTCTTGTTTTGTGAAAGAAAACCTTCGTAATCCTGTTCGTTCAGGAGTTTAGATCTGTGTTCACTGAAGAAGTTTGGGGGTCAATAAATTCTTATGGAAGTTGTAGTGTCGTAAAGTTAAACTCCTGTGAGTCCTGAGTTGCACCACAACTTCCAAATAAAACAAGTGTAAGTCTGTCGACCAATTCTGATACTCTTGTGGCTGCACGAGAGCCCTTCAACTATTAATGGGATACTTCTGCCAGATCATTAGCTTGCCGATGGTAGGTGGTCGTTTAAGATCACATGATGTCGAAGAATTATTAAGTGATTGACATTGTTAAAACGTGCACTGACGTTCAAGTTCTGTAGTAATGGTCGAACAGCAGAAGTTTGCAACCCATTTTTGAGCAGCAGTTTTGGCCACCGCTTCAGCAGTAGGTTCTGCTTCTGTACATCGTATGAAACAGTTTACTTTTGTCAAGTGGTCTGAGTGAGTATTGAAATGTGTTAATGGACCTGTAGTTTGTTTATTACGTCTAGTTATCCAAGATTTCTGGCAGCTTACACAGCAGCCTGTCTACGCCTTCACGTCTTGATTCACACCAGGCTAGTTAAAATAATCTGGCTGATGACTATTTACACGCCTGAATCATATGGTTTGTAGAATCCACTGGAGACTTTGCGATTATAACGTTTCATCAACTGTATTCTTTGCTTGAGAAACATCAGTGTAGAGATAAACTGGTTGTTATTCAATTTTCGAAACTCTCTGCATGAGTAATTGTCAGATAGTGAGTTGAAGGAAAACGTCAGGTGCTCATTATCAGAGAACGAGCAAGTTCTCGCTCATCCACAATGTTAAAAATTTCATGAGGAATTGCACACAGCCTGAAGTTTCCCTCCCAAAGTGCAAACCGTCAGTTTTATATTTTGCAAACAACCTAAGAACAGTATCAACAACCATCACGTTCTATTAACCTAATATTGTATGACCCCTTCTATTGGCCACTCGAATGCATCTAGAATTGACGCGCTGATACCATTTTTCACTGCGATGTATGATTTCTCTGCAACTTCGTCTGATATGATTATTTTTCATTCCCACGACGTGCAGTTGGATATGGATCTATGATTGCGACCCATCACTTCACTCAATTTTCATATTTGTTTCACAGAGGTCAATTATGTGCGATCTAGAATAGCTGTAATCTTGATTTCCAGAGATGAATAACTTCATTGTCACCAGTATTACCGAGAAATTCAGGAAAGCCGATTTTACTTTGAAGGTTCTGAAGGTTAACAGCAATGTCATATGGTTGTATTTGCTAAAGAAAAAGGTCTATATTCTGGATACTGAATCCTTCGTCCCACCTTGAGAGCGAGCAGTCATTAACGTATTCATGCCCCATTTAGGGATACTTGAACAGGACATCAATAAATCACTGGAAAGTTTATGAGGTGTTTCTTCATCCGAAATGCATACACGAGATTCTTTCAAGTAGAAAAAGGACTTATGATGATAAAGTTGGCGTTACCTTCAGCAATCATGGCAATTCAATTAACCAATTAACAGGTTTGATTCTTGAAAAGACGATCACATTTTTCAGGAAAGCTTATAAATCGTGAAAGTTGGCAGGAAATGGAGAAATCGTGCAGCTTTTATATCGAATGGGTATCACTTTGACCATCACTTTCGTTTTCAGGGACCATGTGCAAAAGACTTTTCAAAGTGCAGTTTTTTGTCAAGTCCATCGAAGTTGTTTTCTGGTGCTTTTGAGAATTGAGATAAACTTATAGTCGTGCTGAAACCTTTTCTGGCGTGGATACCTGATCTAGTGTTCTCAGCTAGGGTTGTGTCTGGATACTCGCTAAGCATTAACTTCCGCTATTCCTTCTACAGTCTGTAAGAATCCAAAGTTTATGATAATTGTTCAAAACATGTGACATTCGTTTTTTCTTCAATATAAATTGAAGCGACTTCTCAGGAGTCCTTCAAGAGGCAACTTGACCTATTCTTAAGGACCAAGGACAGCATCGCACTATGATTTACCAATTTCTTTTCCTCTTTTATTGTTAACATACCTAGGTTCCTGCCTGGAGGATTTGGTGATCCCCTGCTACTAGACACGGAAGCCTGTTAAGCGAAAGCTTCTTCTATTCCGTCCACAACCATTTGAACCATTTGAACCATTTGAAGGCTCCAGACCTTGAACGGTGACCTTGGACTTCCTCATGTTGATGCTTGCGTTGGTGTCTCCCTATCCCACCCAGGTACATGAAACTTAGGTTTTATGCAAAAGCGATACTATCCAACTAATTGTTCATACAGTTATAACCTATTTTAAACCTTATTTTACAATATATCATTCGTTGTCCTTGAAATAAAGTGTTAACTGCATAGTAACCCTGAATTTAGTTATTGCAGGAAAAAAGACTGGAAGAAAAACTGCAGTAGTCTATCCGTTCATAGACATAGTAAATTTTTCTGTGAAGGAATAATTAACACGATCCTTCGTTGATTTACGGTAATTGTCAAGTAAAGTTTCATCTGGTATTTACCGTATTTTACGGTACTTCAAAATACTGGAGACTTGATCTAGTTAGATTTAGACATTCTAGTTTACTATCTAAAGCGAATTCACCACCAGACAGCAGGAAACTCAGGCAGTCCTAGATGTTTGCTTTGGTTGTGAGGCTGTGCACAACCATATAGCTAGTCATCTGCATTTGTGTCCACTTATTTTTATCATTTCGCCTTATAGAGCATGAAGATGATGGTCGGAAAGTCAGAATCAACCATTGGGTTCAGATCCATTCACTCATTCCCTCCCTTCAAGTCTTGATTTTCACTCACTTTATACATTTTAATCCTCGAATTTATTCTTTCTTGAAACCATGCTCTCTGATGTTTAGTCTTTCTGTTTACCACTTATCTATTGGTTTTAAATTTTCAAATATAATTGATAGTACTATTACTTTAACTATCCATCCTGTCGATTTCATCTTGCCATGCTGATACGGTTTGGAACCTTAGGTTGACGTCCATATTTCCAAGACTGTACTTTGTCATGGTTGACGGTGTTCCACGAACTTAGATTTACAACCTAACTAAACGATCATAGTTACCTTTTGTAACCTCCGTTTCATTACTGTAGTACTTTCTAGTTGAAGTCTTATTGTCCCAGATTTGTTGGTCGAAATAGCAGTGGATTCCTTTGCTAGCCACCATCCATTTCTGCTTATAATGTTCGTGACTTAAGGCAATATCGAGGCAAGCCACATAGCATGCGCATATGTTAACAAGGGACTGATCAATTGCAGTCCCGAAAATCAGTGGTAAGGTTCAAACAACCAAAACAAAAATGCTTTTGTTAAGCTAAACTAGAAGGCAAGAAATCTCAGTAATTGTTGGAAATATTTTTTTAAAATTAACACAGTTTCCACAAATTGTTTCTAACTTTTCCTGAACACAGTGGGCCGCGAGGGGAACTCAGCTGTAGCTTGGCAGGAAGTTACCTAGTGATTGGATCGAGTCGTAATCAACAAAGTAGAAGATAAAAAAAGACAAATTAGAAAACACAAAATAGCTATTCAAACTCACCAAAAACATGATTTAAAATGTCACTCGTTAGTCAAACTTGAGGTGATTAAGCGTATAAAGACGTCAGGTGACATGGAGTAAATCACTTTTACTGGTACAGTTCTATTCGCTTTCTGGCTCTCTTTAAATTTTGAGGTAGCTATCGTCTTCATACGTCCGTGCGCTAAGCTACTATCTCATAACTAACTTCAGGATTGTAAACGAGACCACAATAATGAGAGAAACAGTTCAGTTGGAGAAATATCGCCACTGGCTTCTGTTCTAAGCCATGTCTGATAACGTCTCTAGTCACTGTGTCGCACCATCGCTAGGACCCCAACCAGGGAGTAGTGAAGGGCCAACAGAAGCCAGTCCTCTACAGTCTCCTTTCATACCACGACACCATGTCATACACTGGCCACCTCTCCGCTTTTTCCAACCGGTCCAAGAGTTGGCAAACAACGCACGACGTGGAATTTTATGGGACATTTGTAGGACATGTCCAAGCCACCGAGGTCGGTGTTTCAAGACAGTGAATTATCATCTCTGTGCCTGAACACACGATATCGAACTACCATGGTGTTGCCACTGGATGTCAGCAATCCTTCGGAGACAACGATGGTCAAACACGGACTTACTTACGCTTGTTACTCCTCGCGAAGGAGCATAGGCCGCTCACCAGCATTCTCCATCCATCCCTGTCCTGGGCAATCCTTTCCAGCTCCTTTCAGTTGTTATTCATCCTTTTCATATCTGCTTCTATTTCCCGACGTAGTGTGTTCTTTGACCTTCCTATTTTCCACTTTCCTTCAGGATTCCAAGTTAGAGCTTGCCTCGTGATGCAGTTTGATGATTTGCGTGATGTATGTCCTATCCATTTCCATCGTCTTTTCCTAATTTCTTCTTCAACTGGAAGCTGGTTTGTTCTCTCCCACAAAAGGCTGTTGCTGATGGTATCCGACCAATGAATGTTGAGTATCTTGCGTAGACAACCATTTATAAATACTTGTACCTTCTTGATGGTGGTTGTTGTTGTTCTCGAAGTTTCAGCTCCGTACAGTAGAACTGACTGTCTTGACGTTCGTATTGAGGATTGTGACTTTGATATTGGTTGAAAGTTGTTTTGAGTTCCATATGTTCTTCGATTGCAGGGATGCGGCCCTTGCTTTGCCAAACCTCGCCTTTACGTCTGCATCTGAACCTCCTTGTCCATCGGTGATGCTTCCCAAATATGTGAAGGATTCTACATCTTCCAGAGTTTCGCCATCAAGAGTAATTGGATTGCTGTTCTCCGTGTTGTATTTGAGAACCTTGGTTTACCCCTTGTGTATGTTGAGGCCTACTGATGCAGAGACTGCTGCTACACTGGCTGTCTTTATCTGGATTTGTTCATGTGTATGCGATAGGAGGGCTAGGTCATCTGCGAAGTCCCAATCGTCTAATTGGTTCTGAGCTGTCGATTGTATGCCGTGTTTTCCGTCAGATGTCGAGGGGGTTACTGCCGGTCCCATGCCCGGGTAAAGGAGGAGGGTTGGACATTGGGTTAGCGACCCCATCCCGTAGAAAACTAACTCGCTATAAAAACACTAACCAGGAAAAATAATTCAAACACAGAGGGTCGTCTGATATCCTCAACTCGAAGAAGCCAGTTTACACAAGCATAGAGCGAAACTGTTTTCATTGACGCGTTGTGGACCCGACCTTTTACAACCAGACTAACATCACGAAGGCTCCAAAGATAGCGCAGATTGGCATAAGCCGCTCTGGCTTTCACTATACGTTAATTGATTTCATCAATCACGCCACCACCATCACTTATTCATATACCTGAACTTCTCGACTACTTCTATCTGCTCACTACTCAGGGTGAGTTCAAGATCAAGGTCCTGCCAGTCTTGTACAAGTACTTTGCACTTCGAAGGCGCAAAGCACATACCATGCCTATGGACACTAATTGCCAACTGATTTCGTGGCTTGGGTATCATCATACAGTAAGACAATATCATCTGCGTACTCAAGGTCGAGAGATCTTTCTCCAGGCAACAGATCCACACTACCATTACCTACATCCACCATCCATCCGGAACGTTATCGATAGCAAAGTTAAAGAGGAACGGTGAGATTGGGCAACTCTGCCTAACCCTACTGCTTGAATAGAACAATGGAGAGAGATGGTTGTATACTCTTACTCTTCCTGAGGTGTTTGTATGTAGGGCTTTTAGGACGTTAATAAACTCCTCAGGTACATCCTTCTTCAATAAACAATCCGAGAGAACGTTCCTGTCCGACGAATCGAAGGTAGCCCTGATGTCAAGAAACACTACGATTGTTGGCCTGTGATAAGTGCGACGGTGTTCTAACATTTGACGGAGGATAAAGACATGATCAATACATCCTCGACCAGAGCGAAAACCAGCCTGCTCCTCGCGACCCAATCTTTCTCGGGTTTTGAACAACCTACGAAGTATGACGGAAGCCAATAGCTTGGACGCAATCGGAAGTAGACTTATCCCCCGATAGTTGTTACAGGAACGACGTGAACCCTTTTTAAAGATAGGGACAACTATCGACTCATTCCATGACGTTGGTACACTTTCTAGTTCCCAAACCTTTGTAGACAACGTCGTCAATTCCTTAGTCAAAAAGTCACCACCATCTTTAAAAAGAGCCGGAGGTAAGTCATCTGGGTCTGATGATTTGTAGCGCTTCAAGAGTTGGAGTCCCTTGCATACCTCCGCCTCGTTAGGTGGATCAGCGGTCATCGACCGTGGAGGACACAAGGCAGTCTGACCGAATTCGCTGGAGCAACAGACCAGTTGAACTGTTCCTTGAAAAACTGCCCATCGTCCAAACCATCAGATGTTATTGGTTGGCATATCATCGGCTTCTCACACACCAGGACTCTCACTGCCAGTGACTCGGATGAGTTGGAAGAGTTTCCGGCAGTCACCAGATGCGGCTGCTACCTCCAATTCATCGGCACACTCGGACCACCAGGATTATCGGTCCTTTTCCCAATTTCATTTCGTAACAGTCTTCATGTACGGTCAAACTCGTGGTTGGCCGGAGTAGACAGACGGGCTTCAATGAGTTGTAAGGAACCTGCAGAAACCCAGTGCTTATAAGCGGGACGTTTCGCGAAGCCGCAAGCGACTTTACTCTCCATTTTCATAGCGTCATGTAATTGCAACCAATGCTCATCTATATTTTTCAGTGGGTTGATAGCTAGCCTTGAACCTAGCTCGGTTTGATATTTAGTTACAACAGAAGCTGCAACCAATTCGCTGACATCGATCCGTTTAGGATGATGAATTTATTGGCCATTGAAGTGTAAGGTAAGGTTAGCACAAACAAGAGCATGGTCAGCGTCTAGACAAGTACTTTAGAAGGAGCGGCAGTTTTGTACATAACGACGTTAGTGGCAGCTGGTCGGAATGTAATCAGACTTGAGATGGAGAGGTAGGGGGGCCAGGTAGCACGTCGGCGATGGCTGTGCCGGTAGTTAGTGCTAACCAGAAACAGGTAGTATGCGCACAGTTGCAGTAGACGGTCATCGTTATATGACCTAACTAACAAGTTTCCATCGGCCACCTAAACGACTCTTTTCTGTGCCTAGCCGCCTGACCTGAGCATTCAAGTCCCCGTCGAGCACCACAATATCCGTCGAATGTGCTTTCTTTAGAAATCATAGTGAAGAATGAATCAAAAGTCCACGAGTGGAATTCACACCGAATAAATTAAGATGGCGAAAATTCATCTTAAATATATTTTGATTTTCTTCCTTAGTTATGTTTGGGGATTGCCTCATCCATTGCTTTTCGCCCTTCCATCTCATCTGTCCTGTTTAAACACTACTCATGTTTAAATCTTCACTTGATTTGATATTATTTCCTCTTCTTCACTTTTCACTTTATTAATTTGCTTCTCGCGGTGATGAAGTGAGATTTAGGGAGCTATGTCATCCGTATGACGTCCGATTTTTACTGACATTGAAGAATGGTTGAACTAGCTTTTGGCTTCTATCTATTTGCTCATCGATATGTTCCCTTGTCTACCAGTACGGTGAGACTTGAACGTAAATTTTCTGATTGCACGCGGCTAGTATCTGTTGCTTTCACGAGACATTATATTCACACTTCACACTCATAATAAAGAAAAAAGAAACAATCTTTTATAAAAGAAGCTTTTATTGTTTCCAAAACTGGGAAATTTATGTTGAAAATATCCTGTATATGTAGTTTATAACTTTGGGAAAATTGGGATTTAGCATATTAAAAGGGTTTTGGTGGAGTTTTGTTCTCTGAGCTGGATGGTTTGGTCGTGGAGCTTTCATCGTCCTTCTGAAGGACATCATCAGCACAAGCTTCAGATAGAAGTGAAGTGTTCGAATTTATCCATATGTGTTTCACCTAATGATAACGGATGCACACTACAGGATCCGCAAATACCAACACGTCATAGAGGACCGAAAGATGAAGCTACAAAGGACGCTCACACCAGAACATTTGGAAATCGTGACAACAGCCATTGAGATATCACGCAAACAACACAGAGAACAAAGAAGAAACATCTTAAAGAAAAGACTAATCAAGATCTCAAAACCACCCATGAAAGAAAACACAAACAACTGCGTGGTCAATCTGTCAAAACAATCACTAACAAATACGGAAGAACACCTGCTCCAAAAGGGATTAAACTACAATACAAGCGACGCCTCAAGGCTGGAGTTCTTCGCAGCACTAGAGTCATCACTCAAAACTTCCGGAATCAGTGAAGAAACACAACAGAAAATAAGGCAAACTATAGTACCGATAACTTAACAGGTGAAAGAAAACCAACTGACTCCACAAGAACAAAAGGCCTTAAAAGAACTCAGAAATAGAAGGGATATTGTCATAATACCAACGGACAAAGGACGCACCACAGTAATCATGGACAAAGAAGAATACGTCAACAAAGCCGAAGAACTAGTCGAAGATAAGACCACATACAAACTGATGGACACAAATCCCGTCAAAAAATTAGACAACCAAATCTCAAAGACTTTAAAAAAGCTAGTCAAAGCAGGAGAAATAACAAAACAAGACCAATGGAGAATGAAATCCAGTAAACCAGTACTCCCTCGATTCTACGGCAGACCCAAAATACACAAACCGAACACTCCACTACGTCCAGTTGTAGCACTCCCCGGAACGCCAACGTACAATTTGTCCAAAGAAATTTCACGAATACTGAGACATCTAGTAGATTCAGCCAACCACTCCATCAAATCCCCAACACAATTCCTCGACCAAATTAAAGATATTCAAATCAACAACGACGAACTCATGATATCCTTCGACGTAACAGCACTTTTCACCTCAATTGAACCACAGTTAGCAAAAAAAACTATATCCCTGCTGCTCAACAACGACACAAATCTCACTAAATACACGAAGCTTCAAATTCAAAGTCTACTGGAACTCATCGATTTATGCCTAACAACATATTTTCAATTCAACAACAAAATCTACGAACAAACGAAAGGGACACCAATGGGATCACCAATATCAGGACTGATCGCAGAGGCTGTGATGCAAAGACTAGAAGCCACTATATTACCAGTGATCAAGCCAAAAGTTTGGATTCGCTATATAGACGACACCTTCGTCATCGTCAAAAGGAATGAACTGGAAAACACTTACAAACTGATCAACAACGTTTTCAATGACATCAATTTCACAATGGAACAGGAGTCAAACAACCAACTAGCATTCTTGGATATATTGATCACTAGAACTGACACAGGAAAACTGGAAACTCAAGTATACAGGAAACCGACCCATACAGATCAAATTCTCAACTACAATAGCAACAACCCAAGAGCCCACAAAATCAACTGCGTGCACACATTGTTCAAGAGGGCGAGGACACACTGCAGCACGAAAAAATAAAGAGAACTACCTGAAGGACATATTTCAAAAGAACGGCTACCCAATCAACTTCATCAAAAAATACCAACCGCACAAAGCATCAGAACCCAAGTCAAGCGCAAAAATCAACAAAAGGATCACCCTACCGTACATACAAGGAATATCAGAAACCGCAATGAGACTGCTGAAAACCTTCGGGATAGGTGTGGCACATAAACCGACAAGATCACTACAATCAATCCTATGCAAACCAAAGGATGAAATAACAAAGGAAACCAAATCAAACATCATCTACAAAATAAATTGTACCAACTGCAACAAACATTACATCGGACAAAGCGGACGCCCCCTCCACCTTCGCCTACATGAACATCAATTAGCGGTCAAACGCCATGATATCTCGTCACTTATATCAATACACGTGGATAACTACGGACACTCATTCGATTAGAAAAATGTAGAAATCTTAGACAGAGGAAACTCCAAAAACACCAGAGAATTTTCAGAAGCCTGGCACTCAGGTCAATCAGCAATCAACAAACATATTGAAATCAATCCAATTTATCAACCAATCAGGAAAATCATGCATAAATATAAGAACAAAAACCAAACCAATGGAAGACACAACCAAAACAAAGAAAGAAACAATGATAAATTTAAGGTCAGTAAGAACCAATCAACATCGAGGTGCACAGAACAAGCTGTGAAACACATATGGAGAAATTCGAACACTTCACTTCTATCTGAAGTTTGTGCTGATGTCGTTCAGAAGGACGATGAAAGCTCCACGACTAAACCATCCAGCTCAGAGAACAAAACTCCACCAAAATCATCCACCTGAGCTACAAATCTCCACCATCTCAAATATTAAAAGGGTAATTAAGCATTTAGAGGATAGCCAGTGTAAGTACCTTTAAACCAGCGCGTACTTCTTGCATAGAGCTTGCAAACGTTAGTTGCAAAACACGAAGGTGGATATTTTGTGGCTTTTCTAACGCCCGTTACTCACCGATATCGTGAATTGATGATCGACATTTGGTAGATTATCAAAGTACCCGTTGATTCAGATCATACAAGGAACAATCACTATTAAATTTTAGTTTTAATCTTATCATATTGTTTAAAAATGTTGTGACTTAAAATCACAGTCAGATAAAAAGTCCAACTTACATAAGGATCACATGAACTCGAAGTTTATTCTGGTCATCTAATGATTGTTATAAGCATCGCTTGTTTTATCACTTTCCGTTTTGTTCTCCTTTGATGCACACAGATTTCTATGTACTTTTATGATTACTCTTCGTTCGTTTTCAGAATGAATAATAGAGGAATCCCTATGTTACCTCGTAGATGGTTGAAATGTCCGCGTATGGGAGACATGATATTAGATATATTCATTCCATTCAAAACACCGTTGGACAATAAGTTTGATCATTTCATCGATCCGGATGATGTGTTTCACGTAGACGATGCATTCAAAACAGCGGAACCGGTAAAGCTCTCTAATTAAACAAATGTTTATTTTTTCAGTACAAACTTGGTCTAATTATCGACTTAACAAAATCTCGTAGGTTTTATAATCGACGCGAAGTAACGGAACAGGACTGTAAATATTTGAAAATAGAATGTAAAGGTAATGAGGAACGACCAACATCAGAACAAGTGAATCTTTTTATACAAATTGTTAATCAATTTCTCGACAATAATACTGGAAATCAGAAAATAGGTATGTATAATTTTTATGCTTGACATCGGTGTTTTTAAGGAGTTCATTGCACTCACGGATTCAACAGAACGGGATTTATGATTATTGCTTATCTCGTTGAAGAGTTGAACTATGGGTATGTTTGGTTAGTCCTTTCCGTTATTGAACCTCTTTAGCGTAGATATAGCGGTTCAAATATTTTCGGATGCTAGGCCTCCTGGAATTTACAAGGCAGATTATTTAGAAGATCTCTTCACACGTTATGGGTGTATCGAGGATTGCCCACAAGCCCCCTCACTTCCTGATTGGTGTACAGGTATAACACAGTTGTTGCAATGCTAATAGGTTTTCAGTACATTCCAAAATTTTGCATCAGGGTTCTATTCTACTTACAAATTGATAAGTAATTTCTTGGCAATAGGTTTCATAAACTAACAACAAGTTGTTGTAGGAATGGATTTTGTTGGCATCTGATCTTTAAAATTCTGTTAATGATTATAAAACCTTTACAATCTTAAATATTTGTTTATTTAAACACATAAACATTGGTACAAGGAGGCGCCGAATAGATATGCGCCACACTTCTTCATTCGATGTGTGTGAGGGCTGGGATACTGCTCGGGTACCGAAACAGGTGGTTTCCTTAGGGGACCAAATCTCGAGTCTTTGACCTAAAATTGTAATCCACAAGGCAGTGGAGCAGCGTCAAGAGATGCAGTCCCATGGTAGTCGGTGACCAACAATAGGTTCATACGCCATTTGTTTCCTTAGGATCTTCGAGCCCATGTGTACCACTGGTTTGAAGTCAAGGTTTTCCAACTCCACTAGGACCCGCATCTGCTGGGATCACCGGGTAGGTAATCGGGAGGTTAGATGCACAGTATTAGTGAATGATGGTAAGTCGGTTGATGAGGTGAATTTTCGTCGACTGAGATGGTTAGGCCACGTGTCACGAATGCCTGAACACCGTTTACGTTGTTAATCCTATAGAAGCGTCCAAGTAACCCCGATTGACGTACGCGCAAAATCGAAGTTCCAAAACAACGATTTGTCTACAGAAAGCGGTTGTCTATTAAATAATACACGAAACTTAGTTACAAACCTCAACTTGTGAGGTGTCTAGGCGTTTAAACGCGTCCTTCAAGAATGAAAATAACAAAGGCTTCCTGTAAGAGTAACATAAAGAATAATTATAACATACGATAGTACAAAGACAGCCGATAGCTGTGTCTAAATTTGATAACAGTTTATGAGCAACCGAAACTCGAACCAAGAGCAAACAATATGGAAACTGTTGCGTTTAAACAAATGCACAAAACTATGGATAACCGTTACAGTAATTAAATTACAGTGATTATAATGATAAATACGATGATAAGCAAAAAATAAACGTTAAAGATATATGTGAACATTTCAGAATGTTACAGTACAACTTGAGTTACAACATAAGTTTGAAAATTGTTGGGCATACAACTGCTTACTGAATATAAATAAGTAGTATAAAACAACATACAAAAGAGTAGAAAAGGAACGTGTAGGAACAATGTAAGACAAACTTATATATATATATATATATATATATATATATATATATATATATATATATATATATACATTCCCCTAGTCTATTATGTGACTTTCACTGTTTTCCAAAGAGCTATAGGATGGAGTCTTGAACATTGCATAGATTCACTGTTTCGTATTTCTGTCCACTCTTCAGAAATATCTTATAGTAACCGACTACTGAAATTAATTATATCATTATGAACATCCACTGTATATATTTTGTTACTAAGTGTATAATATCAGTTGGTTTTCGGAGGAAACTTTGTTCGTGTATTTTTTTGTAGAACGTTTATAACGCTTGTGTGTAAACAATATGCGATGCATTTTTCGGAAAGACTGGATTGAATCTCTAAACGTTTAATACACCTTATGAAGTACATCAGAATAAAGTGACTTATCCGTTCAAAAAATATGAATTAGTTCGACATAGACGGAGAGTTTCCTTAGCTGATTACACTCACTTTCTAAGACTTAGCGACGAACTTCAGCATTAGTTGCTTTTCGGTCCTAGCACAATTAATTTTTCGAAGACATATGTTGTCTGATTCATGGATCTTCCGATACATTATTCTTGTTTGACTACCATATGCTGTAGCTAAATAATAGGAGCGTGTAGGGATCAAATTAAAAAACCGTCGTTAATAGAATAAACTTTTTTTTTCATTGCAAAAGTCGTCATAATGCGCCTCGAATAAATTGATCAAGATAGTCGTATGGCGAGGCATCAATAAATCCCTGTTCTTAAATCTGGCAAACTGTCAAGATTTGACCTACACAAACTTTGAGGTCTTCAACGATCGCCAGTATTCAAGTAGTCATTATCTCTAAGACTTTTGCAAGGACTATATAAAACGGGACATGTATTGCGTGTGCCCAACCACCGACATGTGATTTTTTATGGTTTAGGAGTAGGATGGAAGAAAGCAGTTGTTAGGAAACGGGTACTAGGTAAGGATGGCAAATCAATTGATGAAGTAGTGAAACTTCATCAGTTGAGATGACTGGGACACGTGTTACTTATGTCCAACCACCAAACGCCTCGACGTGCTATGTTTTATGGTGTAGGAGTAGGTTGGAAGAAAGCTAGGGGCGGCCAGACCAAAACATGGCACAAATCCATGAAGTCACTGACAAGTGGACTGAGCCATGCTGGGAGGTGTAGACTACCTGGTTGGGGTCCACGAGATGATAGCAACCGATGGTTGAAGACTTTGAATGACATGGCTCAAAATCGTTTGCAATGGCGCAGGTGCATACACTCTTTGTGTTCTCCCAAACTCTAATCTTCTGAATTCTTCATGTCCCTTTATTTTTTTCTTTCTAAATTTATTTCACTGGATTATACTCCTTGAATAACATCTTCAGACCCTAATCTTTCCGATTACTACTTATACTTTTGTTACCTCTACCACCATGGGATTTGAATCGACAATTTATCTCTGTGCTAATGTGGTATGGCAACTTGAACTGACGTACGTACGTACGTACGAAGTTCTACTTTGTTGGCGGACTGAGTATAAAAAGCTATCTTACCGAAAACGGATAAAATGTTTGACACCGTGCAATGTGTGATTACGTTTGTATGCAATCCCAAAAATGTGAATTTTGTTAAAACCAGTATGTTTTGTTACTTTATATACTTCTACAATGTGCTAGCAATTATATGAGTAAAAACTTTTGAAATTCATTTGTAGAGGACGAAGAATACAGTTCACCTACGCCAGCTAAGAGAAAAAACGAAGAATTGTGTACAAACGTGGATAATCAAGAGACAGTTTCCTCATCAAAAATATCACGCCTAAGCGATCATATAGAAGAAAATGTGCCTTTTAGTGTTCCTACAAGCAAAAGCTTTCCTCCACCGCCTCCAGGAAATCCAGATTTTATGGAAGGGGTTTCTAAGGTTGATGTTTTGGCTCAGGACAGTCCAGAAGCACATGAGGCGCGCGATTTATCGGACAAACTGTGCAAAATGGGTGGTTTTTTATTTATAGAGGGTCACTTGTTTCCTGCAACCGATTCAACATCTGAAAATGAACAAGAACCTGAGAATTTAGAAGCAAATCGCAGCGAAAAGACTTCAAAACCATCTAAAAGGCCTTTACGTTTTAAAGGTAGTCAACCAGTCTCCATAACACAACGAAATATAGCAGCTCTGGTCAACTCTGATTATTGTGTAACGTACAAGGCTGATGGCACTCGTTATCTTATGCTCATAATGGGTCCTGGTCGTGTCTATCTAATAGATCGGGGAAATTTTGTTTATAAGCCAAATGTTTTGCATTTTCCGACGGTATCGTGGGTTCGCGAAAATGAAAAACGTGGTCCAAATTCTGGTCGTCCAGACTTCCTAAATGATCCTGATGGTCACTTGTTTAATACGCTTTTGGACGGTGAACTTGTACTTTGTCACGACCATTCTAAACCTCCTAACATATCCACATCAGAAATATCTGGAACACCTAGATTCTTAATTTATGATATAATTACTTTAAACAATAAACCTGTTGGTCGGTCTGCATTTTTTGAACGTTATTCGACAATTGACAAGCAAGTTATATGGCCCAGAAATACCGGTGGTCACTTGGGACTAGTTGACTTTAGTACGCAATCTTTTTCAGTCAGGCGAAAAGCATTTCGCGCTCTGCAAGATACTGAAGAGGTAAGATTAACCAGTATATTTCCTTCATTTTGATTATAAAATGGACTATATTTAGTCATAACAAACAATTTCCAGTATTAATGTGTGAAATGCACTCCTGTAAACAATACCGCTTCGTAGTTCAGTTTAAGTTAAAAAGGAGTGAGTTGATTCACAGAAAAAAACACAGTCCCACCTTTCTTTGAAGTAAACTATTATTATTTACTTGTAGATTTTTAACTATTTTCTTCATACACACTTTGAAATCGCATGTCAACAAACGATTATGTTTTTTATTCGGTTCCAGCTACTCAAACCTGCGTTTTTGCAAAGCTTGGACCACTCAACAGATGGCCTTATATTTCAGCCTTGTGGTCCTGAAGATTTTTATGTCCTTGGAACTTGCCCACAAACCTTAAAATGGAAACCTCCAAGTTTGAACACAATTGACTTCAAATGTAAAGTGGAATATCAACGAAAAGTTGGGTAAGGCTACAACTTATTCTTCTATTACAATTCGTTTAAGTTGTTTTTTCCGTTATATGTGTTAATGATATGACTTAAGGGATTGATAAGAACATGGAAAAGAATTTGCACCTTTAACAAAGACTATTGTTACTTCTAGTAACTTATCTCTCAATGATCAACAGGAAGATAAGTGGTCCGTGACTACAAAGAATTATTATTTAGGAACAATACAATTTTTTATATACGTTCATAACCAACCTGAAATCATAAAATAAAAATTACCGGATTGTTATTCCTCATCGGTCCAACGGCAAAATAAATCGACCAACAAGATTACTCAGATCACGTGTGAAATAGAAAGTCTGTTTCATCAACCTATAGTCTATACTATTGGTTTCTAATTTAGTTACTCCTTATCAATCAATTTATGTAGTGCCAAATCACGGAAGTTTGAAACAGGGCACTAATAAATTTCGAATCGTAAAATCCATATAGAACATTCCCGAATGAATCATTATATGGTAACGATTTAAATAATAATATTACTTATGCCTGTTACCCTTCGTGGAGGAACATAGGGCTCCCACCAGCATTATCCATCCAACTCTGTTTTGGGCAATTCTTTCCAGTTGCTATTCATCCTTCTCATGTCTGCTCCCAATTATCGATGCAGCGTGTCCTTTGGCCTTCCTTTTTTCCTTTTCACTTCAGTATTCCAAGTTAGGGCTTGTCCCATGGTACAGTTTGGTGGTCTCCGCAATGTATTCCCTATCCACCTTCAGCGTCTTTCCTAACTTCCTCTTCATCTGGGAGCTGGTTTGTTCTCTCCCACAGAAGGTTGTTGCTGATGGTATCTGGCCAACGGACATTGAGTATCCTACGTAGACAATTGTTTCTAAATACTTGTACATTTTGATGATGGTTGTGGTAGTTCTCTAGGTTTCAGCTATGTACTTTAGAACAGGCTTACCGTTCGTGTCGCACTAAGCGCTAGAGCTGAGGCAGCACTAATCGATTGAATCCCCATTAGCAGTCGGTTATGTGATGTTAGATTAGAAAGTTCCATCAAAGTGAGAAGAAATCGGTGTGAGAAACGATGTCTTTTCGTCATCTCCGCCTATGGCCCGACAGATTGCAGCCCGGATGCAATCAAGGATGAGTTTTACCACCAGTTATCTGCTCTTCTCCAGAAAGTGCGTTCGACAGATATTGTAGTACTAGCCGGAGACTTGAATGCTCAGGTCGGGCGTCTAGGCACAGAAGAGAGTCGTTTAGGTGGCCGATGGGGACTCGTTGGTCGCAGGTCAGATAACGGGGACCGTCTACTGCAACTTTGCACAGACCACAACCTGTTTCTGGCTAGCACTAACGTCCGGTACAGTCATCGCCGATGTGCCACCTGGCGTCCTCCCTCTGCATCTCAAGCCTGGACTCAGATTGATCACATCGCGATCAGCTACCGCTGGCGTGGTTGTGTACAAGACTGCCGCTCCTTTTGGAGTACCTATTTGGACTCTGACCATGCCTTGGTCTGCACCAATCTTGCCTTACTTTTCAGTGGACAACGAAGTGACCACCACCAAAAGATTGATGTTAGCAAGCTGGTTGCAACTTCTGTTGCAAGTAAGTATCGAACCGAGCTAGCCTCTAGGCTAGCTACCACTCCACCGAAAGGTATAGATGAGCATTGGTTGCAATTGCATGACGCCATGAAAATGGCGGGAACAGTCAGTTGTGGGTTTGCGAAACGTCCCGCTTATAAGCACTGGGTTTCTGCAGGTTCCTTACAACTCATTGAAGCCCGTCGGTCTACTCCAGGTGACCGTGAGTTTGACCATAAACGAAGGATGTTACGTAATGAAATTGGGCAAAGCTTGCGTAAGGACCGAGAAGCCTGGTGGTCGAAGCGTGCTAATGAGCTGGAAACAGCAGCTGCATCTGGTAATTACCGGAAGCTCTTCCAACTCATCCGAACCACTGGCAGCAAGAAGTCTGGTGTGAGTGAAACAATCTGCGAGGATGATGGGATGCCAATCACTAACATCCATCAACGTCTTGCACGATGGGCAGAATTTTTCGAAAGGCAGTTCAACTGGCCTGCTGCTTCGGCAACATCGGTCAGACTGTCCTGCCCTCCATGGCCGGTGACGACTGATCCACCAAACGAGGAGGAAGTGCGCAAGGAACTCCAACTCTTGAAGCGTTACAAATCACCTGGCCCAGATGACTTACCTCCGGCTCTTTTTAAAGATGGTGGTGACTTTTTGACTAAGGAATAGACGACGTTGTCTACAAAGGTTTGGGAACTAGAAAGTGTACCAACGTCATGGAATGAGTCGATAGTTGTCCCTATCTTTAAAAAGGGTTCACGTCGTTCCTGTAACAACTATCGGGGGATAAGTCTACTTCCGATTGCGTCCAAGCTATTGGCTTCCGTCATACTTCGTAGGTTGTTCAAAACCCGAGAAAGATTGAGTCGCGAGGAGCAGGCTGGTTTTCGCTCTGGTCGAGGATGTATTGATCATATCTTCACCCTCCGCCAAATGTTAGAACATCGCCATACTTATCAAAGGCCAACGATCGTAGTGTTTCTTGACATCAGGGCTGCCTTCGATTCGTTGGACAGGGCTGTTGTCTGGGATTGTCTATTGAAGAAGGGTGTGTCTGAGAAGTTTATTAACATCCTAAAAGCCCTATATAAAAACACCTCAGGCAGAGTGGAGTATACAACCACCTCTCTCCATTGTTCCATTCGAGCAGTGGGGTTAGGCAGAGTTGCCCAATCTCACCATTCCTCTTCAACTTTGCCATCGATGACATTCTGGAAACAGCTCTGATGAATGTAAGTAATGGTGGTGTGGATCTGTTGCCTGGAGAAAGACTTCTCGACCTTGAGTATGCGGATGATATTGTCTTACTGTGCGATAATGCCCAAGGCATGCAATCCGCACTTAATCAGTTGGCAATCAGTGTCCGTAAGTATGGTATGTGCTTTGCACCTTCGAAGTGCAAAGTACTTCTACAGGACTGGCACGATTCCAATCCTGTACCCACCCTGGATGGTAAGCAGATGGACGTAGTCGAGAAGTTCGTGTATCTGGGTAGCTGCATAAGTGCTGGTGGGGGTGTGAGTGATGAGATCGATGCACGAATAGTGAAAGCCATAGCGGCTTATGCCAATCTGGGCCACCTTTGGCGCCTTCGTGATGTTAGTCTGGCTGTAAAAGGTCGGATCTACAACGCGTCGGTGAGAGCAGTTTTGTTCTATGCTTGTGAAACCTGGTCTCTCCGAGTTGAGGACGTTAGACGACTCTGTGTTCGATCATCGCTGTCTCCGAAGGATTGCTGACATTCAGTGGCAACACCATGTTAGTAATGCAGAGGTTCGGCATCGTGTGTTCGGGCACAGAGATGATAATTCAATTGGTGTCACCATCTTGAAACACCGACTTCGGTGGCTTGGACATGTTCTACGAATGTCGTCCCAGAGAATCCCACGTCGTGCATTATTCGCCGACTCTGGGACTGGTTGGAAGAAGCGGAGAGGTGGTCAGTGTATGACATGGTGTCGTGGTATGAAAGAAAGCTGCAAAGGACTGGCTTCTGTCGGTCCTTCACTGTTCCCTGATTGGGGTCCGAGAGATGGTGCTACACAGTGGCTAGAGACGTCATCAGATATGGCTCAGAATAGAAGCCAGTGGCGATCCTGCTGTAACCTTCTTTTACTTTCTTCATAAAAAGTGGTTGTGTCTCCCTTACCTGAAAGATTTCTTCTGATTGTACCTTTCCGTTCCCTCGTTACTACCACACTACCTTACTCCAATCTCTTCGTTATTGTTCTCTTTTTCTTTTTGCGCTCCTTGTTTTTTTTTCTATTTCTCTTCGCATTCTCATTGTTTTTGTGTGGCGCATATATATTGGCGCTCTCTTGTACCAATATTCATGTGTTCAAATAATTACTTTCCACCTCTCCCAGAGTTTCTCCAGCAAATTTGATTGGATTTGTACTACCTGTGTTGTATTACAGGATATCGCTTCTTCCTTTGTTAATGTTAGGGCTTATTGCTGCTGAGGAAGGAAGGAAGGCTGTGTCAAACCTTTTTAATGCTCTCTACCAAGTTGTCCAGTGCTTGCTTAGCTTCAGTTATATCTTGGCAACTAACAAGCGGTGATCTGAAGCTGTGTCTTTCCCTCTCTTGATCCTCACGTCTTTCATTGACCTTCTGGAATTTTTAGTGATGCAAATATGGTCGATGTGATTTATTGTAGTGTGATCCAGTGAGACCTATGTAGCCTTGTGTATGCGTTTGTGGGGGAATGTTGTGCCTCCTACAGCCATTTTGTTGAATGCAGACAAACTTGCCAATCTGTCATTATTTTCGCTCCTTTCTCACAGACAGTCCATGTCGTCCCATGATATCTTCACACCCGGTGTTGTCCATTCCGACCTCTGCACTCAGGCCTCCCATCAGGAGGGTCAGGTCCTTTTCTGAGTACTTCGCTATGATCGGTTGCGACCTCTCGTAAAACCAATCTTTATCATCGTCGTTGCTATCATTGATGAATGCGTAGCATTGGATAACATTCATTGCGATTCCCTCCTTCTTTGTTTTGAAAGATGCCTTGGTGATCCTTGGTCCATGAGATTCTCACCCTATAAGTGTTTTACGTGCTTCTTTGGATAGCATCAGAACAACTCCCTGAGTGTGATGAGCATTTTCTTCGTGAGTAGAGGATAGCACCATCTCTCCCGAATCCAACCTTTTCTGTCCAGTTTGGGGCCAATGAGTTTCACTGGTTCCGAGCACCTCCACGTTGTATCTCCTCATTTCCGCAGCTACTTGAATCGCCTCCTCGGTCTGTTACATTCTATAGGATGGGGTTACTGACTTCACACCCGACACTCCGCGTTTACTCGGGCTTAGTACCTGCAGTAACCATAATAATGTTATTATTATTTCACTCTTATACTCTAATTTTCATTCATTGTCCTTTTTTGTTGCACTCACTTTTTCTCT